TAGTCTAGAAATGGTTATACGAATTTTGATTGGATGAGACCAAATTCAATATGGCGTGGCGGCCAGCAAGTTAGTTTTGAATACCTATGTGTTTTCATGCATATTTCAATTATTTTGCTTCGAGTTTTGCTTGCAGCTTTGATTTTGATTATTCAATAAAATATTTGTAGGTACCTACGTAAACTATTGAGTTGAGCAGAAACTAGATATTTTTTAGTGTTTTTTCGTCCATGTGTGGACGCCACGCCATCTTGAATGTCACGTGGTTTGGATTGCCTAATTGGGAAACGGTATTTGGCGTTCCAGCAAATTCACACCCAGATTTGGCATTGCCGGTAGAAGGGGAAAAGTAGGTTTTGGCATTAGCATTGCCGTCTTTGAACGCACTCACCCGGACCACCAGCACAACCAAGCGGGAGAAAAAAATATACAAGACAGGCGCAGGGCGCGCTTTCGTTCCGTTCGTACGAATTTAAAAATAGAAAAATGAGTAGATATTTATCCTAATTTAGAAAATTGGGTAGGTATTTTTTAATTGAAGTTTCTTTTCTTTCCAAAATTTTAATTTTATTTTCTTGCTTGGTTTTTGGAGGCAGTGCGCGCGCACGAGCGCACTTATTGAGAAGCCGCCCCTGGACAAAACCGACACCAATAATAGTGTGTTTCTGTGTTTTCGAATTTGCGATGATGCGAGATGCGGTAAAAAGGTAAACACAAAGCTTATAATACAAACATTTTTAGTTACTGTATATTTATAAAATTGGAATAAAAAAATAAGTTTGTTTGAAGATATCTCAATTTTTGTATTGTTCAATTACCTCCTTGACCTCCTTAAGGAATCTCATTGCATCTAATTTGGATTTTTTAAAAATAAGTTCTGTTATCGTTCTAAATAATTGCTCGGTAAATTTTAGCAAGTTTTTTCAACAAATGTATTGCTTTGCAATTAACTGTTTTGAGCGTTTACAGTCCTTTATTTTTAATAAATCTTAAATAAAATCAAAGTTAATAATTTAATTATTCAAAAAAGCCGCTTTTTTACTGTCGGTAAAGAAGAAACCTGCATTCAAACAATGTTCACTCTTTTATTGCTTTCCGTAGCCACCATCAGGGACGCTAACGTCAACATTTTGCTAGTTAAGTACAGGGGAATGACTTCTCTCATAGTTTACTACTATTATATTTCTCTATAATATGGTCACTCTACACATAGGGTTCAATTTTTTAATATTTGTCCAAAACAAAATCTGTTTGTGGGTGAAACACTTAGTGACAGAGAAAGACAAATATACAACTATGATGTTCCCAATGTAGCTTTTTTGTCGTGGCGCCATCTACTTGAAATTGCTTGAACTGTTTCCACCTTCAAAATTCCTTTTAAGGTCATCTCAAAAAATCCGCAATAATTTCCAAAATCCTTTGGCATAAACATTATTTGATATATTATCTACAATCTCTACAATTCGCTTTTTTTAGTTTTTCGTGGTTATCAATAAAATATGCTTTCCACGGATCCATGCTTGATAAACATGCAAATATGCAACCACCAACACATTTAATTGTTTTGGTGGTTGCGAACATGATTTTTGAATTTAAAAAAAAGGCTGAATATCGAAAAACCAAAATAAGGAATTGTAGATGATCGATCAAATAATGTTTATGCCAAATTTGAGCCAATTCTGATGTGCCGTTTTTTTAAAGACCTTAAAACAAGTTTCGAAAAATCAACCAATCACAGTTTAAACATGGCGGCCATTAACGCGGCCTTAATATTAGTTTTCTATGGTTTTATCGCATTTTTGACAGTAATGTGATACATAACTGCATTCAAAATTTAGTGGTAAAGTGCCACTTTACCTCAATAGGGCATGTCCATGTGACGTCACAAATGAGTTTGACAGTCGCCCTGAGGTAAAACAAATAATTTATTTACATTCGTTTAGATTAGGCCGGCTATGTTTTATGCCGTTTTCACAGCTTTTTCACGAGTTTTGGTGTCATTTTGTTTTAAAAAAGTTAAAAGCGGAGTGTTTGTGTTCCAGTCTATGTGGTCTTTCATCTAAAAGTTTGCTAGGTTTTTCTATAATGGATTAAATTCAGGTTTTTTCGAACAAATATCAAAACCAAGTGTCACAAGAACAAATATATAAGTATAGTTACTCTATATCCAATCTATTTTTCTATCAGATCTTCTCTTTTAAGAACATTAATCAATTTTTCTCTTCTCTCTTGAGCTAACAAATCAAACCTCCCATTGTTATTTAAAATTGATGAAAACCTATGGAAGGATATTGTATCCCTTGCGCTATACGGCCACAATTAACAACTAAACAAACTCTAGGCATGTCCAAGAAACTTCTGGAGCACACAATAGTTATTTATGCACCTAGGTCAAAAAGTACAGCTTTAACGCCCGCAGCGTGTGTAACAGCCTGAGGCGTCAGCCGAGGGCTGTTTACACGCTGAGGGCGTTAAAGCTCTTTTTGACCAAGGTGCATATTAGATTTTATGCACGATGAGCATGTTTTCATTTTGATATTCAAAAAATTATATATTTTTAATTTTGTAATGACATCGACTAAAAATATTTCAAAATAAAAATTTTCATCTTCACCGCATGTCGTAAGTTTTTGTCAAATGATCAAGAAAGCAGTTGTTGACAAAAATATGACGTAACTATTATAGCAACCCAGAACAATACAAACAAATAATTATTCTACTCTGTGTAAAGTGTATAGTATTCTTATGATATATGGTAGTCTGACTCATGGTCGGCGCCTCATCGGCGCCGTCGGCGCACTCGTATTACCGCTTTGAGCCAGCTTTTTTTGTTCACTCGTGACCGCTGATGGCTCTGCTGGTCTTATAAAACTGAGGTTATGAAAGTGAAAATGAAACAAATACCGAATGTTCTGTGTACCGAATCCTTTATCGGAAATGTCATTGTCATTTGGACTTGCCATATTTCAAAATTTAAATTTAAATTGTCTTTTGATTGTGTTTATTCTTGTGAAAAACTAGGGACTCGACAAACCTCTGCAGTCTGCAAACAGTGGCGACGATGAATAGAGGCCCCGCCGCCATATTTTTGAAATTTCAAATATAAATACATAGGAATTATTGGATATAAATGGATATCTATCATCAAAATTTGGAGGTAACGTATTTCTCTGACTAAAATTCAAATACGTTATTTTTAATTTTTTATAATAGACATGGATATATCCGAGGGGCATTCAGCCATTTATTTCCTATTATTCATATAAAAAATTTGCAAGAATATGGCAGCGAGACCTCCATTGTCGCCATTGCTTGAAGAGGGTTGTCGAGTTACTGAAAAAATTACAGGGAACTATCAATAACAAAGTGCCATCTTTCGGAGAATGACCGAACTAGTATTTATAGTTCACTCTCAGTCGGCAGAGGGCGCTAAAATACGACATGATATGTTAACATTGGAGAGTCCAGTCTATTTACCCCCTATATATATTAGTCTATGGTCTGACTTCTGAAAATGGAGCAAAATAGCCTCCCCAAGTTTATTCTTGAGGCAGTTGAAGAGGCCAAGGAAGATGTATTACCTTCGAAGTCCAAAAGACTCTATGAAAAAACATATGCCTTTATTTCCTGGTGTGCCCAACATAGGTTAATGAGCAGCAGTACTTTGTAGAAGAAACTCTCCTGGCATATACATTAATATGAAAAATGCAAAAAAAATCAGCCATCCACCCTATGGAGCTTTCATTCAATGTTGAGGCAATAGTTCTTTTGTGTTTTTCTGTGGAAAAAGGCCGGTCCTAAAAGCTAGAAACTGTAAAAATTTTATTTTCAATTTTAAAGTAGAATTTTATTATCATTGCTTATTTCATTATTCTTATTACTTGAAAGCTTGAAGCTTGTTTTGTTGAACAAAGTTGGTATTTTTTGGACTAAGCAATAGAAATGCAAAAAAGTTAAAAAAAAAAAATGAATTTTTGCTTATTTTTGAAATTTTGGAACTTTCAGGTCCGCGGGCATAAAAGGCGCCCTAGGGCGTAAAAGTACTACTTCACGCCTTAAAATGCGGGCGTAAAAGTGCACTTTTACGCCCGTTCGTGCATAAAAGGTATTTATTTAAAAAAATCTAACTAAAAACTTAAAAAACACTGTAAATTATATCTTTGTTTTACCTCAAGGCGATTGTCAATAGTGTCAAACTGTCAGATCGTGTACTTGCCCTATAGCAACACTTTACCTCAATAGCAACCATTATCAGTTCTATTTGATCGTTTTCCTTAAGGCCCCCACAGAGTGCTTAATATACTATTTCCTACTACCTACTCATTTCATTAATTCTAATTGTGAATATGTATTTGGTGATCGAGATCTAAGTAAGTAATTGACGTTGAGAGTATAGGTACTCTTTTTAGGTATATACTTTCAAGGGCGGCGGTATATTAGGGAAACCGAACCAATACGTTAATTCCTCCTACATACCTTTATTCAGGCACTCTTGACCTAGGGTACTATTTTTCAGAATATTACGTAATAAATGAAAAAAAGTAAAAGCAGCGTACTTAGGTATTTAAATGTGCAATGAAAATCTAATGAATATACAGCCAGCAGTTATATTAGCCATAGAAACGATCCTAAGCCTCAAGAATATGTATGTATTTAAGTTCACAACCCAATATGGATTTTTCAAAATCAATAAGTGACTATTTAACAACAGCACAAAAATTATATACACATAGGTAGTGACAATCTTGAATGAAAAAAATCCTATTTTCTTTCATTTGTCTTTCAATATTGAATTTCACTTAGCTCTCTGTCGACTGTTGAGCATTGAACTCTATAGTCCATATACCGAGAAAAGAGCTTTCCCTTCCACGACCTATATAAATAGTTCGTGAGTTGGCCAGAGATTTTCCGTCAATTCTGTTGTATTACGTCACAAGAGTTATTTAATGGAATTCTGCGTCGATAACCGGACCGAATGTATAAGTTTGTGCAGACTGATGCAAGAATCTGGTTATCAAAGCAAATTTGGCACAGATATAGAGTGAAAACGCTTGCGTAGGAGGGCCTTCCTCAAAAAAGACTCAATATTGATCAGTTGACGATTCCAGAATAAACCGTCTGGTGTATTTGGTTAATAAACCGGAAGCTTTAATTATAAATACGCATATTTTTATTTGATTTCAAATGGCTTTTGGTAAGTGAGTTAGTTCAAAGTAGAATTAGTAGAAATTTAGATGATACTACATCATTAGGAGGTCACACATTTACAGGACATATTTACCTACTGCATATTATGTATTATGCTAATGGCTTTTGTTTTTAAAAAAATCAATTTTGGTTTTTTTTCATGCTCTAGTATCCCTAAAATAAATTTAAATCCCCGATATTCGCACCATAGAATATCTACATTGACTTCATTTATTAATTTTTAGTAGAAAGTTGAGGCTCTTCTAAAGCCATACAAAAATTTAACCCTCAACAAAACTCTACTCGAAAGTTATTATTCTTTTTCTTCTTTCCTCTGCTCCAACCTCTTTTCACGGTCCACGTCCACAATTAGCAGACCCCTTCTCTTATAATTACGACAAACTTATATTGCTAATATCTTGTTATTGGGTGAACCTCAGTATGATGTTTCACTAGTTTCACCCATTGTGCTATTATCGACTTCCAATCCACTCTCTTCGTCTTTCATACTTCTACATGGCGGTCTAGGCATCACCTACTGCCATCATGTCCATATACCTATATAACATTTCAGTTCTTGAGAATTATCTTTATCTGTGTATATCTCATGGAAGCTGAGATTCTCGTATCCTGTAACGTATTCCTCTAATCCTTTTTACAGATTTCGATTCTGCTAAGTTCGATGTAGGTATATTACAAATCTTTTACCATCGTCTGCAACGTTTTGTTCAGAATACTCTTACAATGCTCAATTTTATGTGGGTTCAGCAATTCATTCGAGATAATATGACCCAAATAGAGAGCTTGGTCTTTCATCAATTCGCATAGAGGGACTTAGTTAATATTCGTTAACTTCTCTTCTGAAAGTTCTCCTTCCCGTATACAATAAGAAAATTTTCTGCCACTGAAATTCCTTTATCAAATAATGTAGATGTATCAACTTTCAGTGAGTAAGCAATGAACACTGTTTCTTCTGTCTCTAGAAACTCGTTAATTATAAGCTATTATTATTATAAGGCTATTTATACCATGAAGTTTTCTCACAGGATCGCCACGGAATAAATTTGAAGTAAAATCGATTCTTGGGGGAGAAAATATACATATTTACACTTAAACGTGTTTTTATTGAATGTTACCTTCCATACCATATTCATCCATCATTTACCAACGTTGTCAATAATTAAGATTAACAATATCCTCTAATGGACCCAATTACCATTGCAGACCATATTTTTTTGTTTTTTAAAGATGAACACAATTTGTATTACTTAGAATTGTTAAGAAGCCACAAAAATATGAAAAATTCCATCCGTCGATAAAGTGATTCCCTAAAAACCACTCCCATTTTGTTTCGAACAGTCTTTTTCAATTTTTAAAAAGCGCCAAAACTCAATGGTGTGATAAAGAGGGCCTTGCTTGATCCCTGCATTTTTAAGCGAAGCTCCACTATTCATATCCCTCATTTTAGAATTCCTGAATTCGGGATCCTAATAAAACTTGTAGGAACCTACTTTTGCCTTTTTTCTAAAAATTGACAAAAAATTGTTAATTTTGTTGTGGAAGAAAAAATATACCTAGCCATGCTATTTGAAAAAAGTTGACTGTGATTTTTTTGACAGCCGAGCTTTTTCGGAATAGTACATTAAAATACAAGTTTCATAAGACGTCATTTTATCGCACGAGCCCTATATTAGAAAACGAGCCGGAGGCGAGTTTTCTAAAGGGCGAGTGCGATAAAATGTCTTATGAAACGAATATTTTATACTATTTTTTCTATTTTGGTATTGTTTAATTAAAAAAAACAAATTTTACTTGGAAATTTTATTCTCATATTTCCTGATTTCATATGTTTAGGTTGGTAACACTGCAAGCCAAATATAGAAATCTTCTATTATAACATCGCGAATAACAGTTCGATGGCCATCAGTCAGCCAGTGTAACCAACCTCCGATAAGTGAAAAAGGAGTGTCACAAAGAGCTTCTTTTCGAAACTACTTTCAGTGTCGAAAAGACTTCGATATGACATCAAAATAGAAAAAAATCTTTTATAATCAAACTTGTAGAAATGATATAGGGTCTTCAAAAAAAAAACAATCAAATATTGCTATGGCTTTTTAAACGTATGTCTTAGCAATATATTCCTTTAATTTTGTCAATGAACTTCAATGTCAAAATGTCATGTCAAAGATCCTGACCAATAAAGAATCAGTAATGCGACGTACGTTTTCGTGATCAAAGCAATGTTCACAAAACTATATCACTTAAATTCTGTAGGTGTCATTATCGACTGAACTAATCGTATTTATCTATGGTATTTCTCATAAACACCATTTCTATAAATCTCGATCATTGCGGCAGTCCCAAGTCTATTCCACGAAGGTTAAATTTTCTTCTAGAAAGTTCTGATGAACATCAAGTATACGAGGGTGGATCCATAACTAGTCGTAGCATGCGTCGACAATTTGTGAAAAAATATCATCAGAAGAAACACTTAAATTTGGCAACTTTCCATCCTCGTACATATGCTTTATAGAAGATCTTTGACTTGGATATGGATGATGCAACTACAAACATAACCACCATACCTGCCGATTGTCAAGTAACATCTTCATTTTGAACTATTTACTCTGTCTTTCTCAATAATCGGCTACATGAACTGGAAGTACAGCTTCAACTTCATGGGCTGGTAGTCCGCCAAATATAAGATCTATGGGGAGCTTCCTTTCTCTTCCAGTCAACAAGATCAATGGTACACTTCTGTTGTGAGCTTCTATAAATCTGAAGCAAAAAAAGTATCCAGATTACCACATTTTCGCAGGTATCCTCGATAAACGTTGAGAGGTATTGATGAATTAAAGAATAAACATTCCGTGAGATTATGGATGAAGTAAGTGTAGTCGTTCTGGTTTTTCTTGATCCCATCCACCTCATCAGCTGTTCCAATATTTCGGACACAAAATAAGTCCCTTGATTGGTATCTACTTGGGCCCATCGGTGCCACGTATCTGGCTATGGCATTTCTCAGTATTGCTTCGACAATACATGCTTCTTGATTGAGGATTGAAACCACTAACCACTTATGGCCAATTTCGAAAATAGTCTATACCAACCAAACCATGTCGTAGGAAAATGACCGGCGTTATCTACTCCAATTCTTTCGCAAGGTGAACCGGACAAAAACTGTTTTTTCCTCTTCGTGCCTTGGATCCTTTCTCTAATGAAGCACAAAGATCGCATCTATCACATCCTTCTTCCACATCTCTACGAAAAGTCTAATAAGATAACGAACCCCATCTCGTCACCGTCTGGGCGAAACTGCAAATCTCTTGCCATTTAGGTATAAGTACGTTTTCGCGCATCATTCCCGATTCCTTGTCAGCATTTTGTTCATACTAAAAATTCTTTAATTATATTCTAGTTGATATTTAGTATCAGTTTCCTAGTTCTTAGCCCACTCTGTTAAGCAAGTCCAGAATTCTTGGCTGCATCCTTTTCTTCCTGCCATTGGCAAGATTTGCAACAGTTGATGGCATTACTTTTCTCTGTGCAATGCTCAATTCGGAAGTCATGCGTTTATAATTTCTCAGATTTCACAATCTTGCGTTTCCAGAAGAGGCAGCCAATATACATACAGTGGGCACGAACTTCACACCTCGGTCTATAGACAATACTTTCTAGTGACACAAAAAAAAAATCTGCTTTTCTCACATCACAATAACAGTCCTTTGTCTATATGAAACGATAAAAGTGGACCACTGCGTAGTCTGTTTTCCAGCTCTACGAAATACTACTATCCAAGTGAGCGTCCTTCTAGCCAGTTGATGTAACGAAATCCTTGACAGTCCCTGGAACTTCTGACTTCAATATTTTTTTCTTTGGTTTGGTGATTCTAGGTCAAATTGGCACCGCCTAGACTTGTTTCGGATGTGTATCGATTTTTTTTTGAAGAAACAACATATCTGAACAAACAAACTTCGAATTCGTTTTGGTAACTACCCTGGACCGGTGATAACCATGAACATTTGATTCTGTCATGTTGTCATCCTGCTGCTTGAAGTATGGTGAATAATACTTGGTGTTTGTGACGGAACTAACTATTGCCCCTTTTTGGGCTTTAGTCAAACCGCACCAGGGATGCCAAAAGTTTTTACTTTGACTGACTGTAAAAATGAACCACTAGGTATTGGATAATTTAAGCCTTGTATTATGGGTTAGGAGTTGCCTTTATTCTCATTTATACAAATAAAACGCTGAAATAGAATAATTATCAATTTAATTAATAAATGAAAGTAATTCGGTATAGTTAGCAATCAAATCCTATCTAAAAATTCCTAATTGGACGTCCAGTCGAACTACAAATTTTATAATAATCTAAAGCAAAGTTTTCTAAAGTAAGTATCTTGATTTACAAAAAGTAGGGAAATCTGATAATGATAATAATATCATTTATGGTTAAATGTTAAGTGAACGAAAACACAAATGAACTAATTAAATGCACGAGAGCACAACATTAATAATTCGTCAACTTTAATCAGTTCACTGATCACTGTAATCACAAAATGCTTATTGATCCTTGAAAGTTCTTTGATGTATTGGGAATTACCAATTTGAGCACTTTTCTGCGGAAGTCGGTAAGCAATATGTGCAAGAAAAGTCTTTATATATGCTCAGTTTCTATATACAAATGTACAAATGTTAATTTCACGAGTGTGAAAACAAATGTCTGCATAAGCTTTAGAAGACACTTCAATTTATAGTGCATTTCAAGCGAATAACTAATCAGTATTTATTGTTCGACTGTTAGAGAAATTGTAACGGTCTTACTTGCTTAATCCGGTTCATGCAGATAAATCCACAAGGTGATTATTTATCCATTTATCACTATTCACACTGGCAGCCAGGGAATTTTCCGCTGAGATGAAAACACAACGATATGCACATGCGGGCGCGTTGGCGCCCGGTGAGAGTGAGAGTGAGAGCGAGAGAGAGAGCCAAAAACAGGCGCTT